AAGCCTGGGCATCTACCTCGGGAAATGGCCGCGCGAGGCTAAGTGGCTTCCCCCGCTTTCCCGGTCAGCACTCCGGTCTAGTGGTCCGGTCTAGTGGTCTAGTGGATAGTGTAGGCTTCTACCAAAGCTATGCCAGTTTTTGCCAAAGCTATGCCAGCTGTAGGTTCGAATCCCCTCCATGACAAAGTCGAATACGGTGATCTGACAAAGCACAAGCAAACACAAGTCGAATACGGTTTAAATTATAATCTATCTAGACTAGAATTTAAAATCTGAGGAAAAAAATGCTAGTTTTGAGCACTTTTTTCTCTCTTAACAGTACTGGGTACTTTCTCTTTCTCTTTCTCTCTTTTTTCTCTCTTAACTTTCTCTTTTCTCTTCCGTCATGACCGGCTGGCTCGTTAAATATTCTGAATTAGTTTTCGTGTTTGAGTTTGTGTAAATTTGGAAAAGAGGCAGACAATTTTTAAGGTTATTAGAGCGCTTATCGACACTAGGAATTACTAACAAAATTGTTTATGAATCACTATTAATTACTAACAAAAGTTGTAACAAAAGTGCTTTGTTGGAAATGATCTTTTATTCATACTTTGTTTAGCATTTATTTACCTTTATTTACCTTTATTCTTATCTTAATTCGTATCTCTTTATATGCACCTTTTGGCGCACCTTTTGGCGCATTTTTTGCACACCTTTTGGCACACTTTCGGCGCACCTTTTGGCACACCTTTTGGCGCACCTTTTGGCGCACCTTTTTGCGCACCTTTTGGCACATCTTTTGGAGCACTTTTGGCACATCTTTTGGAGCACTTTTGGCGCACCTTTGGCGCACTTTTAGCGCACAACTTTTGTTACAAAAGTTGTTCTTTTTGACTAGTTTTCTTTGGACGATTAAAAGCTTTTCTTTACAAGGGAATGGTGTTGTTCTTGTATATTGTTTCTACCATATTATTCCTACTATAAATATTTCTTTTCTTGAATGCTCGTTCATCGTTCATTGTGCGCTCTTTGTGCGCTCTTTGTGCGCAATGTTTTCCTTTCTTCAATTTCCCTGTCTGCTTTTCTTTGCAATCCTCTCAAACGTCAAGAAAACGAAATTTCTTTCTGATTCTAGAACTTAAAAGAAAAATATATTTGATCTTCTTCAATCTAACTTTGTGACAGTCAAAGTTTTCCCTTTTTCTTATTATATTTTTTATATTTTATTTTGTTTTTATTCAATTACACTTGCACAAAAGCTCTTTTTACACAAACAAACTACAAACAGATTTAAATCAAAAATTTAAACCCATTACACATAAACGAGTTAGATATTCGAAATCAGCAAAAAATTTGCTACAAAATAGGCTAGATTTCACTAGGATCAAACGATTTTGCCTTCATAAATCAAACAATTTCACTTCTCTCGCCTAGTCTGGACTCTCTTAACAGAAATCTTACGTTAATTCCCTTCTTCTTTTTTAGATTTTCGAAAAATATCGTCATAAAGATGAATTTTCATTTAATCACCTTAATTTTCCGATCATTGATTGAGCTTTTTGAGCTAAATTTGAATCCAGTACACATAAATGTGTCAGAAATTCGAAAGCAGCTACAAAACAGGCTAGTTTTCACTAGGAAACTTAGCTGATTAGGCTAAGGCTAAGGCTTAGGCTTAGGCTTAGGCTTAGGCTTAGGCTTAGGCTTAGGCTTAGGCTTAGGCTTAGGCTTAGGCTTAGGCTCAGGCTTAGGCTTAGGCTTAGGCTTAGGCTTAGGCTTAGGCTTAGGCTTAGGCTTAGGCTTAGGCTTAGGCTTAGGCTTAGGCTTAGGCTTAGGCTTAGGCTTAGGCTCAGGCTTAGGCTCAGGCTTAGGCTTAGGCTTAGGCTTAGGCTTAGGCTTAGGCTTAGGTTTTGGCTCAGGCTCAGGCTTAGGCTTAAGCTTAGGCTCAGGCTTAGGCTCTAAAAGAGATCCTAGCACACTAATCACTTGGTCTACATGAAGTCTTTTTGAGGGACGAAAGATAGCTTGACACTCGGTTAGGCTAAGAATCACTTTTTTCTTAAATCTTTATACATTTCTTTAAAAGCCATGAAGATTTTAAAAAAGCCTGATTCAAAGATTTTTTTCAAACGCTTGATTTTGCATTGAAATCATTTTCAAATTCTCGCTTTCACTTGTTAAATCACAGCTTAAAAGCCCTTTTTTTGGCATTAATCTCGGAAAACTAAGGAAACTTCATAAATCAAACGATTTTGCCTCCCTCGCTTAGTCAATAAATTTATGGACTCTCTTAAAAGAAATTTTACGTTAATTTCCTTCTTCTTCTTCTTCTAATTTTCGAAAACTATCGTCATAAACACTAATTTTTAATTTATCACCTCAATTTTCCAATCATTTATTGAACTTTGTGATTGCTGATTCAAAATTTGAGTTGATCAACTGTAAAATCCAATTTTTGTTTAATTTTTAAGAAAATCTTTGTTTTTTTATGATTTTCTTAAAAACTACTGAACAAATTTCTATATTTTTCATATTAACAATTAAATTAAAATAAATAGCATCTAATAAGAAAGAATTTTAGTAAATCTATCTATTTTGAAGCGAGTTATAGTAAAATTCTTAGGTTTTTCAGTGGAAAGAGTTTCGTGCGAAAACGTGAACCCTTTTAAAGTCATTGGAATCGTTCTTAGTGATGATATATTCAATATTTATCTGCTCTCGGTTGCCTCGGTGACCCGATTTTAAATCACTTTCGCGCGTCTATAACTCCCTTGTCTTTACCGTATATTTCTAAATGTTTATATTACCATTGTGTAGCCCTTGAAAAGAGCTTTCAGAAAATGTATAACACTAATAGTTTAAACTCAAAGAAAAGAGAGTTACAGACGCGCGAAAGTGATCGGGCCATCCTCATCGGGCTATCCTCATCGGGCCATTCTCATCGGGCCATCCTCATCGGGCCATTCTCATCGGGCCATCCTCATCGGGCTATCCTCATCCAGCCATCCTCATCGGGGCCATTCTCACAGGACCATTCTCACAGGACCATTCTCACCGGGCCATTCCCATTTTGCAGCTTATTGTCCCTAGAACTTGTGTAAGTTTTCAGTTTTCTGAAAAAGGAAAGCTGAATTTAGAGGATTTTAAATCTATTTATCGAATTTGCGTAAATTTCTTTTTACGCGGTTCCCTTCAATGCCCAAATTTTAGGGACCAATTTTTACTTCAAATTTGACTGCATTTTTGCTACAAATTCTAGAGCCACTAACTGAAATGCTTAATGTTGAAATGATCTGATTTCATCTTTTAATACCTCATTTTATGATGGATTCGATCCAGATTTAGGATTGAATTAGCTCATCTATTTCTAGAAACACTCAATAACATGTAATGTACAGTACTGGACAATGAAATATCATATTTGAAAAACGATCGTCACTTTCGGACGTCTGTAACTCCCTTGTCTTTACCGTATTTGTAAATATTAATATTACCATTGTGTAGCCCTTGAAAAGAGCTTTCAGAAAATGTATAACACTAATAGTTTAAACTCAAAGAAAAGAGAGTTACAGACGCGCGAAAGTGACGATCGTTTCTTCAAGTATGATATTTCATTGTCCAGTACTGTAGCTCTCGACTTATTCCAGTTTGATTCGAGTTGGCAAAAAGTCTTGAACTAGTTTCTTTAATTTTATCATGAAGCTTCTTTACAAAAGAAGTTTGTAGCTTCTTTACAAATGTTTTACTCATTTCATCGATTGCTGTCTTGTTTAGAATTTTTCTTTGTTAAGATATTCTAAACGACTTGGATAAGCTTAATTCCTGGCTTAGTTCTAATCAAAAAAAAACTTCAGTCTTGTTGAATTTGGTCTTCTCATTCTTCCATTAGTTAATAGTGTCCTACCATCGTTTAAATGTCTTCGCCATCTACCGTATTCTCACTAATAGTAGCGCCTAAGCTTTGCTTTGCCTTAAGCCTTAAGCTTTGCCTTAAGCCTTAAGCTTTGCCTAAATTTGATCGAAATCTGAAAAATCTAAAATAAATAGCATCTAATAAGAAAGAATTTCAAAAAATCTATCTATTTTGAAGCGAGTTATAGTAAAATTCTTAGGTTTTTCAGTGAAAAGAGTTTCGTGCGAAATCGTGAACCCTTTTAAAGTCATTGAAATAGTTCTTAGTGATGATATATTCAATATTTATCTGCTCTCGGTTGCCTCGGTGACCCGGCAAAAGGAAATTCATTTCGGGATTCATCCGGTCATCACCCATCTAGCTGAATTTTTAATATTTTTATAGATTTCAGAAAGAGATCGCTTTTTAAGACTTTCCTTTTAGCTTTTCTGAGTTTCTGAGCTTTTCTTTTGATTAAACAATGATAGAATTTAACCAGAATCAGAAAAACTCTCTTTTATGCAATATTTTCAGTTAAATTACAGCTTAAAAGCCCTTTTTTGGGTTTTTGGTCGAGAAACTAGAATTTTTAACTACGAACTCGGAATCTACGCGACATTCTACATTTAGAAAAGTAATTTGTAACCAGATTAATAACTTGACTATGCCGTTATAGTTTCGACTACCCACCTAACTTCATGGTAGGTAGTCTGACTTTGAGTGAAATTTTCTCTATCTTTTTGCACTAGTGTGTACTAAGTAAATTGTGGTTTTCTATAACCGAATTTCATAAGGAACATTTTAAACCCAACCATAAGTCGATTCGACAATTAGAAGTCGAGATATGGAGGAAAAGAGAAAAGCGGCCAAACTCCGACTATCTACCCCCTAAATCTCTAGAAAGGGGGTAGAGATTTTCCAAAAATTCCAAAGATCATCGCGAGTTGATTGCATGTTTCTTTTGCCGTTTTTGTTTTCAACGGCCTTTTAACGTCACAAATTTTGTCAAATGATCTTAAAGCACATTTATAAAATATTACATTTAAATAATACTTGGTATACTAAGATGAACTTAAATTCCCCATCTGGAGTTGATTGTAGGTCAATGAGATCGATTTGACACCTTTCATTCTGTCTTTGCGTCCGTATTGGTTACACCACGACTGTTCTCTTTGGATTTTGACGCTTCATTTCGCATTCTTCCCAGAGATTGACGAATATAGCAATTATTTCTCTAAAACAAAGTAAAACAAAAGTACAACCAATTACTTACTTTGAAATACCATAAAAACTCTCTGAGTCCTTTCCACATCACGCAGATCCCTGCATGTCCAAGTTTAACGTGTGTTTTGTAAAAAATTTTGAAGAGCTCTTCTTGTTGAATTACTCGTTGCCTTTCTGGTTCGCTACCGGCTTTCCGTCGTTCGTCTTCGTGATAAAGCGTGACTCTCGTATTTTCGATTGAAAGAGTGTATCGGTTCAGCAAGTTGGCTTGATGATAGTTCATTTTTGAAGTCTCCAGTGTTGAGTCGCTAAAATTTTTAATTTTAACAATTTTAACAACCATCAGCTTGTAGATTTCGGCTGTCGGAATTTGGCTCGTCTTTTTTCGCTAAAAGAAGCTGTTGAATTTCTCGTAGAAAAGTATGAAAAGTTTGAAATGCACAATCAGCTATTTTACGAGATCACTCTACCTCTACCGAGAGTTGTCTCAGAGAACATTAGTTTTCAAAAAATAGATCTTTTTCTAGTACAATCTTTGTTTCTTTTCTTTAATTTGATCATTGTTTAAGAAAATTTTTAACTAATTTATGTAAATTTCCTTTTCCAAGCTCCTTGAAATATCCTTGAAAGTTTTAAAATGAAATCTCCTTTTTTTAGATGGATTTATTCGAAGCGATTGATAAAGGAGAGATTTCCCTGGTTGAGCAAAAATTCTCGCAAGGAATCGATGTGAATTGTGTGGACAAAAACGGGATGACTCCTTTATGTCAAGCGGCTTTTCGAGGAAATGTGGAAATGGCGAGGGTTTGTCTCAAATTTGGCGCTGAAGTGAACACGAAACGACACGAGCAAGGCTATACACCGCTCATGTTCGCCGCGTTGTCTGGTGAGTTGTTGAAGTTGAGTGGAAGAGCTAGGCTAGAGCTAGACTAGAACTAGGCTAGAGCTAGGCTAGAACTAGACTAGAGTATGGGGTAACCTAGGGTAGACAGTTGTCTGAACTTTAACACTAATTTTCTTTATGTTTTTATCAGTAAGTCTGCAAAACAAATTTGTAATTCTTTAGTCAAATTTAATGTAGATTTTAATGAAAATAACCAGAAGTTGATTCAGCTTTTATATTTTGAGTTATAGACCTTTTAAGTGGATCGATCCTTTCAAGTAGGTAGTCTGACTTTGACTGAGATTTTCTCTATCTTTTTATATTAAAGTTTACTAAGTAAGTTGTGGATTTCTATAACGGAATTTCATAAAGAATATTTTAAGACCAACCACAAGTTGATCGGTCAATTGGAAGTTGAGATATGGAGGAAAAGAGAAAAGTGGAGAAAACCGCCTCTCTACCTCCCCCTAGACACTAAGCTAGAACTGGACTAGAACTAGACTAGAACTAGACTAGAGCTAGGCTAAAGCTAGGCTAAAGCTAGGCTAAAGCTAGGCTAAAGCTAGGCTAAAGCTAGGCTAAAGCTAGGCTAAAGCTAGTCTAGGCTAGGCTAGAGCTAGGCTAGAGCTAGGTTAGAGCTAGGCTAGAGCTAGTTTTACAGTAAAGCCAAGTCAGAGGTTCAGAAATTGCTTAATGTTGCTTTTCCCTTGTTAAAGCTAAGACTTATTCTTTTTTCAGGTAAACCGGATCTCTGCCGGTTGTTAATGGATTATGGAGCCGAATCCTCCTACACAAACAATATCGGAAAAACAGCTTGTGAGCTGGCTGCTTTTGTCGGCCAACATGAGTGCGTCTCAATCATCAACAATCACATTTCACTCGAGCAAATCAACAAACTCTTAAATCCAAAGGATTCAGAAGAGAAATTCCCAGAAGAACTCTCGAAATTCATTCACAAAACCGTTTCCGCTCACGTCGTACACCCAATCGCCATCATTTTTACTTTATTAGACTACGAGGATGCACTCAAGTACCGAAAAAAGATTCTCTATGTAGTGGATCGAATTTTCGAGAGTCAATTGCGTTGCAAAGAAAGCAATGAAGTTTTATCGCTGAAAGTTTGGATAATTTTACAAATTTTAAGAGAAACTTATAAATTTATCGATGAAAAAGAAAAAGATCAGGAAAATCCTTTAAAATCAGCAACATTCTACGCAAAAAGTTTACTTTTTATGTCTCCAGGGGACGAGGTTCGACCAAAATTGGATACATTGTTGAGATCGGCGATCGTCTCTTTCCCATACCATCATAGCTTACTTTTTGAGACTTTAGTCAAAGCTTTATCAAAGTCGAAATTCGGGCAAAGACCCGCTGGATACGATTATATTGTTCAGGGTTTATTTGGGCAACGATTACACGCAGTTAGCCATTTTTGCTTCACGTGTGGATCATTTTCGGCAAAAAAGCGCTGTGGTGGATGTAAAGTGCCGTATTGCTCGGAAAAGTGTCAGAAATTTGATTGGCCGATTCATAAACGTTGTTGTCAGGCGATAAGTGATTGGAATAAAAAAGATGAGGAAGAGGAGATCGATTTGGATCAGATCAAAGCGTCCATCGAGGAGGTAGATGAGATCAAAGCCTCCATCGAGGAGGTGGATGAGATCAAAGCCTCCGTCGAGGAGGTGGATGAGGATGGGGAAACGAAAAATGAATAGCTTTGTTGCTTGTTTATTTTCAAATCCGTTTTCTATAATTTGCTTGTCTTTTTTAGCGGAATTTGCTCGATTTTTATCTAATCTATCTACATTTTTTATATCTTAGAAATCAGAGGAAATGATTTCTAAACTAAGCATCAAGTTTAAGCCAGCTAGGAGTTAGAGGTTAGTCAACTTTTGGCCTACAGTATCCAGACTACAAACTAAACCAAAAGCTTGATTAAAATGGATTCTAAAAGATCTAAAGTTACCGTAATCCTAGAAGGATCTAAAGTTACCGTAATCCTAGAAAGATCTAGAGTTACCGTAATCCTAGAAAGATCTAAAGTTACCATAATCCTAGAAAGATCTAGAGTTACCGTAGCCTTAGAAAGATCTAGAGTTACCGTAATCCTAGAAAGATCTAGAAGCTATCTGAGAATTAGATTTACAGTAAGCCAACCAAATAGATATCTTTAAAACCTTTCAATCCAGCCAAAAGTTAGCTATTCCATTTTGTCACCTGAATTCTCATTTTCCTTGCCATTTTTTTAGCTTTTCAGTTAAGCATATAAGCTGCTACATTAGTTTTACCATTTTAAAACAAATTTCATTTCATTTCATTTCCCTTTACGATTTCCTTGCCATTTTCTCTCAATTTTAATTCTATAAGTGCCCAAATTTCACTTTGATTTCGATCTCATATTGATTATGTGTAAAAAAAAGGAATAAATTTCCAGGGTAACATTTCGATGCAATGGAAGACGATATCACTTCTCGTGTGTCTTTATGGAGTGATCAAGGTGAGTAATCACAGCTAGTGTTAGCTCTAGAATCTCTAGTGTCAGCTCTAGAACCCTTAGTTGAAACTTGTCATCTACTGGAGTTAAAAAGCTACATTTTGAGGTGTCTAAAACGATTTTTACTGCAATAACCAATAATTTTTATCGTCTAAGAGCCCTCAAGCTCGTCTAGGAGCCCTCAAGCTCGTCTAGGAGCCCTCAAGCTCGTCTAGGAGCCCTCAAGCTCGTCTAGGAGCCCTCAAGCTCGTCTAGGAGCCCTCAAGCTCGTCTAGGAGCCCTCAAGCTCGTCTAGGAGCCCTCAAGCTCGTCTAGGAGCCCTCAAGCTCGTCTAGGAGCCCTCAAGCCGTCTAGGAGCCCTCAAGCTCGTCTAGGAGCCCTCAAGCTCGTCTAGGAGCCCTCAAGCTCGTCTAGGAGCCCTCAAGCTCGTCTAGGAGCCCTCAAGCTCGTCTAGGAGCCCTCAAGCTCGTCTAGGAGCCCTCAAGCTCGTCTAGGAGCCCTCAAGCTCGTCTAGGAGCCCTCAAGCTCGTAAAAACTTTCTTCTAAACTCACATTTGTTGTAAGCTGTAGCCGGCGCTTTCTGATTCTCAAATGAGGACTAAAATCCCTTAATTTAGAAGATTTTTTGGAAACTTTATACCAAAAGAATCATTGAAAGCAGCACAAGCACACGATTGGTCAATTTCAGGAATTCCGTCCGGCCACCCCGTTTCTAACTCCGTTTCTCGTTTCTGACGCAAAAAATCTCAGCATTGAGACAGTTTACAGTGACATTTATCCATTCTGGACGTATTCGTATTTGATTTGCCTGGTTTGTTTGTTTGAATAAGCAAAAAATACTCAACACAAAGCTCAATAATCAGCACAACAATCAATCAAAGCTAAATCCAAACTACTGAAGAGCTTCTAATCATTCAACCATTTCAGATTCCAATCCTGGCTCTCACTGATCTTCTCCGCTACAAACCGCTTGTGATCGTTGAAGCGATCGGTCTCTGTCTCACGTGGGCGCTTCTCGTTTGGGCTCAAGGCGTTCAACTCATGCAATTGATGCAAATCGTCTTTGGTTGGTCTACAATAACACTACAGGCTTAGAGTTTAACTGGAGACTTCGATTGATTCTTATCGACTAGGACATCGATTCTTATCAACTAGGATTCGTATCGACTAGACATAAGAAAATTCCAATCCGAACTCAATTCCACCTTCGTTTTCTTGGCCATTCCTTCGTCCAGACGATTTCTTTTTCAAAACTTGTTCTCAAAAAGCGGAAGAGAGATCACAATGTGATTCGGGAGCGTTCTGCTGATCTTGAAATCATAGAGAAGACACACGCACACAACATCCATTTGAAGTATTCCACCAGCAAGACAACATCACTTTGTGCCCATGATAATCTGGCTTTGGAGTTGAAATTGGCATTTGACCCTCGCTGAGCCATTGTCTTTTTGCGAGAAGTTTTATCGAAGTGTTATCGAAGTGAATCAAAATCTCCAAAACCATGTGATTCGGTAGCGTTTTTGCCCATTTTGAAATCGTAGAGAAGACACGCACAACATACATTTGATCCACCATGATCTAAAGAAAATATCAATTAAAAAGTGAAAGCTTTGACTTAGAAAAAGCGTAAAAATAAAGTAAATATGTGTCGTAACCGTTTACGAAATTCAGCCGCTAACGAATGATTCGTTAACGGCTAGCCGATTACGAATCATTCGTTAGCGGCTGAATTTCGTAAACGGTTACGACATATATATAGATGTCGTAGCCATTTACGAAATTCAACTAACGAATGAAATTTTCGCTTAAGTGAGTTCGTTAGCTGAATTTCGTAAATGGTTACGACATCTATATATATATATGTCGTAACCGTTTACGAAATTCAGCCGCTAACGATTCGTTAACGGCTAGCCGATTACGAATCATTTGTTAACGGCTGGCCGATTACGAATAAAATCTTTTCGCTAGCCGTGTACAATTTGTAATCGCCTTCTGCGAACATGGCTCGATTCAAATAAGCTTTTGATTTCAAGCTATTTATGCAAAACGCAAACCAATCAACTAATCACAACAAGTGAAATAAAATTTATAACATTTAACATGTATAACATAATAACGTTTATAACAAACAAATTCGTTAGCGGCTAGCCGATTACAAATCATTCGTAAACGGCTAGCGACCACTTTCATCCGTAAACGGCTAGCCGTTAATGAATTTCGTGAATTTCGTAAATGGTTACGACATCTATATAATAGGTTGATGCATAAGTGTTTTTGTTCCTTTTCGTCTGCCGTTTCAAGCCAACAAATGCACCAATTAAACTACGGTTGATTTCATTAGAAAAACCAATTATTTTTCTGCAAAATAACATTAAAACGGGTTTAAAAATATTTAATGCCTGGATTTTCTTGAGAGTATGAAGTCGGGTAGTCAAAAAGGGCTAACTCGATGCGGTTTAGATGCGGTTTAGACACCTTAGCTAAAGAAAACCTATCTTCGTGTCAATAGATAAAAGATAGAGAAAAAAAACGTTTGATATTTCGCCAAAATTTCAGAGAAATTCATTCAGCCAATTTTTCCGTAGAGTTTTTTATAGATTTTTACGACAAAAGGCGTTTTTCACTCTCGAATTTGCTTGAAAGTGAACCGAAATTCATTTAAAAAGATGCAAATTGAACAAAAAAAAACACTTTTTTTATAGAGCAAACTATAGATTAATTGGTGAATTTGTTACTTTTTAACAGAAGTACGAAAAAAAAAACGAAAAGACTTATGCATCAACCTAATATATGTCGTAACCGTTTACGAAATTCAGCCGCTAACGAATGAGGGTATTTCCGGGCATCCAATCAAAAAGTTATCCACATAAAAAATGTTCATAATACATATATTTTATAATAAATTTTTGAAATTAGCTCATTTCGTTGAGTAGAAAATCTTTTTTGAGCCCCCAAAGTTTAGGTTCAAAAATGACCTAAAATGGCTATAAAAATTTTTCTACTCAGCCAAAAAGCTTGGCTAATAGCTCATTTTGTAGCCAATTTGATGTAGATTCTTAAAGTAAAACCATCTAAAACAATTTTTCGTTGAAAGTAGGAGAAAGAGGGCGAGGAACAAATTCAGCGCAATTCTCAAATGTGAAAACAGCGACCGAGTTCAACTGAAGTCGTTCCTCGCCCTCTTTCTCCTAGCTTTGAAAAACAAATGCTCAATGTAGCTTTACTTTAAGAATCTACATCAAATTGGCTACAAAATAAGCTATTAGGCAAGTTTTTTGGCTGAGTAGAAAATTTTTTATAGCCATTTTTGAAACTAAACTTTGGGGGCTCAAAAAAATTTTTCTACTGAACCAAATCAGCTAATTTCAAAAATTTATTATAAAATATATGTATTATGAACATTGTTTATGTGGGCGACTTTTTGATTGGATGCCCGGAAATACCCTCATTCCATTAGCGGCTGAATTTCGTAATTTTCACTACGACATATATAAGAGTACAAATATACAAAAGAAGAAAAAAAAATATGATTTCTAGCTTAAAGAATAGAACCTTTTACACCAAGCGTAATTTCTTTTACATCAAGCACAGTTCAGGTTTGGCATCAGCTGCCGAGATCGCTTTCTCTTCATATCTCTTTGCTGTCGTTGATGTAAAACAATATCGCCGAGTCACCTCGTGGACGAAAACCTCAGTGCTTATCGGGAAACTTTTCGCTTTTGCTTTGGCACAATTTCTGGTTTCTTGGCTCGATGCACCGTATTTGTTGCTTAATCAGGTGAGCTCTTAACTAGAAATCATGTTTTTAAACATTTTACAAATACAATAGTATTAATGAGAATAGTTCAAGCTTTCAAATGATACTAGATTTGCTACAAATGCTATTAGATTTGCTATAAATGCTACTAAAAGAAAAAAAGCAAGTCTAAAGCTAAAATTTGCTTAAAAATTTGAGCATAGCACGTCTTATATAGCTTTCAAATAAGATTTAGAGCTTAAAACCTCTATTAAAAGCTCTATTTAAAGGTTTTCAAGGATTGGGAATTCAAATCTTCATGAATTTTAAACAAAAAAAGGTTTAAAATCAGTTTCTGGATTCAGTTAAGCTTTTTTTTTTGGTTAAGCAGCTAAATTAAGAGAAAAGGCTTGTAAGTTTTGGCTCTTGATTTTCTTAGGATTCATTACTTCAATCAACTTCTTTTTCCTGTCACTTTGAAACCCTGAATTGTCCTCATTAAAACGAGAACAAAAGTTAAGAATGACATTATTTGTAGAGAAATTTATAGACCTTGAAAGCGTGTGGGAAATTTCACTTTTAGATCACTTTCAGATCACTTTCAGATCACTTTCAGATCACTTTCAGATCACTTTCATCGCCACAATCATTGCTCTTTTCGTTGCTTTAACTCTTCCGACTGTGCCGAAAAGTCGACCGGATGTTGTTCAAAATGTTGAAGAAGCTCAACCAAAAACAACGTCTCAAATTCCCATTTTTCATAAATTTACAGATTTAGATATGATCGAAAAAAAAGAAAATCTGCTTCTTCAACTTATCTATCGACAATGCGAGGGAGATTTTTGATCTACAAGGAGAACGCTTTGGTCCTGAAGTGGTCTCTCTCCTACGCTTTGATTAGTTGTGCTATGTATCAAGTGAGATCTTCTTCTTCCTCTTCTCCTTCCTCTTCTCCTTCCTCTTCTTCCTCCTCCTCCTCCTCCTCTTCTTCTTCTTCTTCTTCTTCTTCTTCTTCTTCTTCTTCCTCCTCCTCTTCTTCTTCTTCTTCTTCTTCCTCCTCTTCTTCGTTTTCTTCTTCTTCCTCTTCTTCTTCTTCTTCTTCTTCTTCTTCTTCTTCTTCCTCTTCTTCGTCGTCGTCTTCTTCTTCTTCCTCCTCTTCTTCTCCTTCTTCTTTCTCGTCTTCTTCTCCTTCTTCTTCTTCTTCTTCTTCTTCCTCCTCTTCTTCTCCTTCTCCTTTCTGTCTTCTTCTCCTTCTTCTTCTTCTTCTTCTTCTTCCTCCTCTTCTTCTCCTTCTTCTTTCTCGTCTTCTTCTCCTTCTTCTTCTTCTTCTTCTTCTTCCTCCTCTTCTTCTCCTTCTTCTTTCTCTCTTCTCCTTCTTCTTCTTCTTCTTCTTCTTCCTCCTCTTCTTCTCCTTCTTCTTTCTCGTCTTCTTCTCCTTCTTCTTCTTCTTCTTCTTCTTCCTCCTCTTCTTCTCCTTCTTCTTTCTCGTCTTCTTCTCCTTCTTCTTCTTCTTCTTCTTCTTCCTCCTCTTCTTCTCATTCTTCTTTCTCGTCTTCTTCTCCTTCTTCTTCTTCTTCTTCTTCTTCTTCTTCTTCTCTATGAAGGCTTTAGATTTATAACTACATTCAACCGCTCTGGATTGAGATCGATTCGGTTTCGAAAGCTGAGAATGGGTTAATTGAGTTCATCAACACGGCTTTAGGTGAGTTTCTTTTGTCTAGATTAATTTCGGAATCAATTTGAATTGAATGCACTAGAAAGGCTAACATAAAATCATAAAATGTTAGCCACTCGTCCAAAGTAAGACTGTTAGCCACTCGGTTAAAGTAAGACTGTTAGCCACTCGATCAAAGTAACATTGCTAGCCACTCGTCCAGGGTTAAACAAGTTTAGAAACGTTTAGAATCTTTGATACTTTACAGTCCTTCTAGAACCAAATTCCAGGAGCTGTAATCTCTTTCGGCGTGCAATTTGTGAAGCTCGACGGCTCATCCCGTCTCGGTGATTTCTTTCTCTTCAGTTCCGCCTCAATTCTTGGAGTTGTAACAATTGTGCTGAGCTTAACGTCTTCTTTATGGATTGCTTACGGGATGTATGTAATGGCTGTCTTTATTTACCACGCGCTTAGCCCAATTTCCAGGTTTGATTGATCAATTGTTTCAAGTTTTCTCATAAAAACATTTCAGTACAATAATCGCTAGCCAACTTGAGAAAAGCGCTTATGGCTTCGTTTTTGGAGCGAACTCGCTTTTTGCCTTAATCATTCAAACTGTGATCACTTTCACCGTTGTTGACAAAAACTATTTCGAGCTTAAAATGCAACAACAGGTATTGTATTTCATTTTGTTTAAGAAAGTCTATTAGCAATGCAGTAGTAGCCTCGTTAGAGCTTATTAGTTAGGCTATATTCATTTTTGCGTTTTCTAAAAGTATCCGAAAAAGTTATCGTAGTTAATTAGACTTTTTTTGATTGCCTAATTTCAAATCCTTTTTAAAAAACGATCAAACAAATAAAGCCAAGCTAGAAGCCAAGCTAGAACTTTAGCTAATCCAAATACTAAAACAAAGCAAACAAAGCCCAGGATGTGGCTGAGCTGAGCTGATCTAGATGAGCTGATCTAGCTGAGCTGAGCTGATCTAGCTGAGCTGAGCTGATCTAGCTGAGCTGGCTTGGCAAGGTTTTGCTTGGGCTTAAACGGGTCCATCAACTGTTAAATCTAGCAAAATTTTTGGGTTTACCAAATAAATGAAACGAGTTTTGCTTATTAAACTTTCGTTTTGCAAAATTCAAC